TACCTTTTTATTGCAAATATGTTTTGGGATGCCTCATGGGTGGTGATTTAGAAAGGAAGTAAATAAATAAACAGACTGACAACTCCACCCTCAAATGCAACCCATAGTTTTTGGTAACAGAAAGACCACAAAGTTCATCGAAATGAAATCAAGTGCTATATAATGGTAAGGTTCAAAGATTCAAAAGATTAAAATGTGCTGGAAATGTTTCAGCCCAAATCCTCCTTTCATCCTCAGTGCCAGTAACCATTTCACGTGCAATGCTTCCAGTATTCGAAATATTCAAAGTAGTGCAAGCCTTCGGCTTCTCGGGGCTCGATATGTGACTCTCCACAATCAATGCATCTCATTTTAGTCACCAGAGCCTGAATTCCTACTCCATTAATAAGAGCCAGGGCAATACATCCTAAATAGATGTTTTAAAGCTGTTCTGCGTGTGTTGAGGAGCAAGGCACCATAAGAGAATAAGAACGTAAAAAGAGCCTGCTGCATCAGGCCAATGGCCCATGTTCAGAGATATACCCATTTTACAGATGGAATATTGGAACCGAAACAGAGTGGTCTGCAAGATCCAAAGCTCTAACTGCTCCATCATGCCAGCTGCTGGGCTCCCCAACCCCTGGAATTGTACTCCAAATGTCTTCTTCAAAATCCATTAGCACTATCACTCAAAGGCTCCCAGCCCACTCTCTTATCTCAGTGACCCTTTTCACTTGGGTTAACCTCTCCTTTCTGGTTACCTTTCCATCATCATTTTGTAATCCCCAATGTGATGCTCGGCTCCCATTGTGCGCAAATGCTGCCCGTCCCCTTTCGTTCAGATGCAGAGGCTTGCCTTTGCCACTCTCTCGCTCACATCCTTTTCTCGCGACACATCTAGGAGTTTATAGCTTCTTTAAGACACTAATAGCTATCAGATATGGCCATCTTTGACCAGTGTGGAACATGCAAACATACATCTTGTTCACAGTAGAAATGGGCAGTCACTTCCTTAGGCATTTGTAACACAAAAACTTACAGGCATGTTCAAAGGCTGTTTCAGGGGCCTAATCCGGCCTGCCCATCAATTTAATCCAGCCCCCATGGCAGTATGCCCTGGGTAAAATCCTAAAAAAGCTCCGTAACTTCAATCCTTAAATAACCTCAACAACTCTGGGTTAAAATTGTTTGGGCACCCCTGCGGAGTGAAGCCATCCATACAAACTTTTTCAAAGAGCAACAAAGAAGTTCTAGGATGCAATATACTGTACAAAGGGACAAGTTCCAGCTTAAACAATCAGGGAAAGCCCGAGGTGAAGGAATGTATGTTTTCCAAAGATTTCTGAAGCAGGTAGCTGATGGTGTAAGGGGAAGACAATTCCAAAAAAGAGGGGCAACAGTGGGAAATAAACTTCTACAAATCACCACCAAGCGACGGTCTGTGAAATGCAGTGCCACAAGTCGGAGCTCTTCAGATGATGCCCATGATCTATATAGGGGCAGGTGGTCTTTCAGGTAAACAGGCCCCAAGTTGTTCAGGCCTCTGTGTGCTACTAACAAGATCTTGCCTATGGCTCGGTGGCTAATTAGCTGCCAGTGCAGCTCTCTAAGCACAGACAGAATGTGTACATGTCTGAATCTCCCATTTAACACCCTGGCTGCAGCATTCCAGAAGACCGTTAAGGGTAGGCCCACAGTGCAGTAATCCAATTGTGAGATTACCAATGCCTGGGTTGCAAAGGCCACAGCTGAAGCTGGTACACACCAAGAAGCAGAAAGCAACTTTCCATCTTTGTTTCACTGAGAGTGGGGGAAGGAATGCTAAACCTGTGAAACCTGCCATCAATAGATGGAAACAGCACCTAAAAGTGCCACAGAACCATAGAATTGTAGAGTCGGAAGGGACCCTGAGGTCCCAACCCCCTGCATTGCAGGAATCACAACTAAAGAATCCCTGACAGATGGCCATCCAGCCTCTGCTTAAAAACCTCCAATGTAGGACAGCCATTCTAATATTTTAGTGGCATGCTTAGTTTTTATGCAGTCATGTAGCAGCAGCTGCTAGTGGACAGAGGCTGAGGACAGAAGCTCTGGTCAGCCATTACTTAGGCTATAGGCTTAGGCACATTAACTACTGAATAAGTCAAAGTGAGCACAATGGGACTTGCTTTATAGTAAACATGGATAGATAGGGCTGTACCTCTAGTAACAATAAATCTCAAGTCAATAATAGTCTTGAACTTACACCTGCCTGTCCCTGTCCCATAGCAAAAGGGAGAAAACTAATCTCTGAAGCAGACTAGAGGGTGTTGATTTAAGCATGGCATCATCCTGACCCATATCTGGAATGCATGGACATTTGGATCATAGCATCCTAGAGACCCCGTCATGCTGTTTGCATCCTGCAGGCTACTAGCATTTCACATTTTGTCACAAAGAGAGTATTGTGTATGGAGATAGGCTTTGCAGCAGTGTCAATTTTATAAGCAAATGCCGATGCAAATGTTTGCAGCATGTTGCTGGCTGCACACCTGAGATAACATGTTCTATTAAGAAAGCTAGTATCAAAATGTGCACGCACACACAATCTACGGGAACGCTGAAGCAGGTAGAGGGCGAGCTCTATGTGCACATCAAAGCACATATTTACTCTACATTTGTCCCAGCAATTAAGAAACGGCACATGTGGACCCACATTTGTTGATAAAAACTTTCTTAATGAGATTTCCCCACTCACTTAATCATTGGCGGCTGTGCTTATGAATGGAATTATACACGCAAAATACTTCTGGGCATTGAGGACTGCAATGTGCCTCCAACGAAACAAGGAAGACACACACACACACACACCATTAAGTAAGATGAGGTGGAAATAGTCATGCCCTGTAGTTTGGCTCAGAACCAGCTAATCAGAGGTGTGTGATTGGCTGTGAAAATGGGCCTTCCATTTTTGGCTATCAGTGCTAAAGGCATCAACAGACCATCCCTCCATGGGCCCAACATTTGCGTACAATTTATAGCGTTCACAATCTGAGTACATGTCATCTGAACCACATGTAGCTATACATTTCTCTTGCTGAAATTGTCTGAATTTCCTATGCTACCAGGGGAAACACAATGCATGAATGAAACTACCCACATTCAGCCTGATAGCAGCCTGATATATAGTCTTAATCCAACCGCTAACAATGATGCTTAATCCAAAATGTACACAGGATTGCAACTTTAGATTTAGGCAATAACCCACAGCATATGCAATTATCATAATCCTATCATTTTGCTGTACCTGAGCTCTTCATGATCCTCCATCAACAATGGAGCCATTGGGGGCTTACGGAAAATATAAACAACGTGTTAGGAATTTGGCTGCTGATTTGCCACAGACAATCATGTCTTGTGCTCTTCATCCTATGATTTGGGCAATGAAACAATGCTTAAACTCAATTAGAGTATTTTAAATGTATATCCATCTTTTAATGTGCAGACATTGGTGGTAAGTGAGATTTAACAGGGTAGCAGCTGAACAGATGTTTAGGAAATTGTGTACATCAATCGATGCTGAGTGGGGGGAAAGGAGCCATATTTTAATTTAGCTGTTCAAGGTTTTTGAAGTGCTGCCATTGTGTGTTATGCCTGGAAATTAGTTTCTGGGTTTCTTTTCCCTCCCAGTACAAAGGCCACTGCATTACTTTTGTAAACTGAAAATCTGGATGGAATCAAACGAGCTCCAAATCATTAAAGCCATTCTCAGCAACAAATAAAAGCAGAAAGTCACCAGTGCATACATGTACAATGCTTATTTTAAAAATAAAAGGCACTTTACTCTCATGTGTTCTTCATATATTAGTTACCGTGCTTCTTCCTTGTAGAAGCTTTGAAATGTGCAGCTTGTATCTTAACACTCCACAGATGAGGGTTCACACTTGTGGGCTGCATATTATTTTCCATAAAGAATAAAATTTCATTTTCAGTCCTCGTGCCATTCTTAGAGGGTCCACATTACTAGCAAAGCCACAGACGGAATCCAGAGAGAAAAGATATCCTGACAACACTTTACTGAGCAAAACTGAACAGAAAACAGCATATAATTGGAGGAGATAATAAACTGAGAGCCTTTTCTCCTTCAGGACTTATATAACACAGGATTCCTTGGGGGAAGCCATGACGGTTTGAAGTGGCATCATTTTGCTTCAAATGTATGGTGTGAACATAGCCAATGGCGCCAAGGAGAACTTGGCCAGGGAATGCAAACACGATTTGGACAACCTGCGGCGCCATTGCCAAATGACGGCCATCAGCATTCCAATCAGCGGCTGATGGCTTTATTTCCCTGGTGGGTTTCTCTGGATCATCCCTGACAGTAGAGAGTAAGGGGGGAGGGAGAGAGGGAAAAGTGCTTAGTCGTTCGAGCCGTACCCAACAGATGGTTACTGATCAGATATTAGTACTGGAGGCCGAGGTCAGCTGGCTGCCAAGAAAGCTAATCTGAAGGCTGTCTGTTACTTGCCCGCTCCGGGGACGCCACTTCGCTACCTGGGCTTCCGACAGGTGACTCGCTTGGCAATGTTATTCTCTGTATTGTCTGGAGCTCTCATCTATAATTTATAGCCCTGTGATCCTTCCCCCCGCTACATGGCCGTGGTTGGCATCGGGTCACTCAGGGGAGAATTTTGGACAGACTAGAGGGCAGGAAAGGGCAAGGGAAGAAAAGGGAAGCGGCGTGTTTTAAAGTCAGGGGAATCGTTCGAGAAAAGCCACCTTTACCTCCTGCAACCTTGTAAAAACAACCACCACTATCTGCATTTCTCAGAATTCAGTTTTCACTCTCTTTATTGTTTTCCCGCGTCCTTTGCATCCTTGCTAGACTGAGCCACTGTCAGTATACCTCTGAACACCAGTTTCTGGAAGCTGCAGAAGGCTAGGGGGCTGTTGTGTTCAGGTCCTGCTCCTGGGTTTCCACATGCATTTGGTTGGCCAGGAGGATGCTAGACTGGATGGGCTTTTACACTCTCAGGGGCTTTTTAAACAATGGTCCCACTGGAGGCTGAAGCAAACAAATGTCTTGTGATGTCCATGACAGGATCTCCGGACTGGGGTAGAGGGATCATTTTCCTGCTCCAAGTTACACCTGTGAGGCTCTTCTTAGTCCCACCGAGGGAGGAGGTGCGAAGGGGCGATGCATCAGAACGAACACCTGAGGATTGCTTTGCTGAGTAAGATGAAGAAGCCATAACATTACACACTTCTATTTTACAAAATTCATTTACTGCTTACTTGACAGATAATCTCCGAGTGGCTTAAAAATCTAAGCAGTTTGGGTGAATATTCATTTGGGTGAATATTTCACTGGAAATTACTTTAAGGCTGCTCTCTTTGTAGTTGTGTTTTATGCTATGTTTGAAATCAAATCTTTATATATATATATATCAAGGTGTGCTTTATAAGCCGCCTTGACTTCACCTGGTGAAAAAGGCGGGCATATATATTCAGAAAGAGATTGCTAAAGACCATTATTTCACTTTCCTCCAGAGCCTGGCATGGAAACTCGGTAAGTACACAGAAGTCTTGGCTAAGCATCCCTAGATGCTTAGGATAGATGGACGACTGCGCTTCCTGAAATCAGACTCGTGAGATCCATTAGTTGAGCAAAACCATTATTGCTAAATGAATGGCTACATTAACATCAGTCTAGCTCAAAACAAAACTGAACACAACAGCCATGTAACGATTCTTGCTATTTCGAAGATCAGGTCCACCCCCTCTTCTTCTTCTTCATCTTCTTCTTTTTAAAAGCTCATTTGAAATTAAGACTAGAGCAAAGATCCACTGCAGCATCTATGTAGAGATACGATTTTGAGAATCCCTCCCCCCCGCAACCTAAGCACATTTCTGAGAAGGATTTATATTTCTGACCAGTTCATTATCATTCCTTAGATCTAAGGGACTCAGGATGATGCCCACAGTATTATCTTCACAACATCCCTGTGAGGTAGACACAGTGACTAGCTCAAGGTCACCCAGTGAGCTTCCATGACAAAGGAGGGCTTCAACCATGGTCTCCCATGTCCTAGTCCAACACTCTAACTCCTATACCACACTGCCCCACACTGCCTCACAGGCAACTTGAGGTAAAAGGTAAAGGTAAAGGACCCCTGGATGGTTAAGTCCAGTTAAAGGCGAATATGGGGCTGCAGTGCTCAACTCACTTTCAGGACAAGGGAGCCGGCATTCGTTCACAGACAGCTTTCCGGGTCATGTGGCCAGCAGGACTAAACCACTTCTGGCACAACGGAACACGTGAGGGAAACCAGAGTGCACAGAAATGCCATTTACCTTCCCGTCAAAGCGGTATCTATTTATCTACTTGCACTGGCGTGCTTTCAAACTGTTAGGTTGGCAAGAGCTGTGACAGAGCAACAGGAGCTCACTCCATTGTGGGGATTCGAACCACCGACCTTCTGATCGGCAAGATCAAGAGGCTCAGTGGTTTAGACCACAGTGTCACCAATGTCCCTCACTGCTAACAGATGCCAGGGGAGAAAGGAAAATAGGCTACTCCCAGTCAGTGTAGACAATGCTGATCTAGGACTAATGGTCTGACTTGGTAGCCACTTGTTTTTCCTCCTGCTGAGCTGACCCCTCTCCCACCAAAAGGTCATCTGATAGGAACAAAAGCTTGCCTGTGGAAAGCAATGCTAGATGCCAGTTATTTAAAGTTCACTCTTCATAGTGTGCCCATTTCGTAATTGTTGCGAGCAACTTTGTGGACTCTGGTTGACAAGCAGGGGGCAAATAGTCCAAACACAAATCCACAAATAAAACCCAATTAATAGAGGCAATAATTCAATCTTGGTTTCACATTATTGCAGCTGCAGAGCTAAAAAAAAAAACTTGGTTCACTCCTTGGGAAGGTGTTGTAAGGCCTCAATTAAAGCTAAAGGTTACCCAACTAAGTATTAACTGACATGGTGAGAATTTTTGTATACCCCATTTTTCCCCTCTATGTGTTTCACGTTTCTTCTTTATGACTGCTGTTGTAATAAATAATTCTTCATGAAAGTTACTGCATCACATTCTTAGTTAAATTATCTGTCCGTTGATATATAATTTTATGGCATCACTCCAAAAAAGTGGTGCTATGAGCCATCAAACCTCAGGAATACACCTTTTCCAAAAGGTTTCCACAATTTTGGCCACTAGCGTAAAAGCTCTCTACCCAAAGGCATGCAAAATGAACCATTTCATAGCTCCAACAAAAAGTGTGGGATGCTAATAGCTATTATACATCCCATAAACAAGGGACACAATTGCCTTGTTCTTTGGAGAACCATTTGCATCATGAATACACCTAGCAGCAGTCCTTTAAACCTTGCAGAACGTCTCGCTTCTGAATCCTCACTTTCCCCTGTCCCCACTCAAATCTTTCACCCCATCCCCATCCCCACACAGAGACACTGAAAATCAAGCAGCAGTACTGATCCCATTCAGTGAGGCTGAACTTTAATAAGCTAGCTACAGACAGTCTTTCCAATCTTGGGGTGGCCATTTCACTGTATCTCCTTTCAAGGCATCTGGTTTTCACCTGGGTGGGGAGAAGGAAGCCCCTTAAGGCAGGAAGCTAAGACAATTATGATCCATTCATTCATACTGACCCGACTCCACAGGACGTTCTACAAATTAATTTATATCACACTTATTAAGCGAGAGCCACACATTCCGATTTTAAGTAGCACCATTAAGTCCCATTATCACAACTAATAATGCTCATGGCATGAGACTTCAATAGCTGCTCTAAGCTTGCTTTTATTGAAAGGGAACAAGAAGGGGATCAGGACTAGACCTATGAATATCCGCATTGTCTTTTAATAATGATGCTTTTAAACTATAATCTGTCTTAACAGCCCATTGCTACAGGGGAGACATAAGAGAATGGAGTTGTCATCTCTACAGCATGTTAAATACCTCTGAACACATAGCCTTATTCTAATCTGGATTCGGAAATTAGTATTGATTATTTGGTAAGGTGTATCTGTATCTCTCTCTCTCTCTCTCTCTCTCTCTCTCTCTCTCTCTCTCCCCCCCCCCCCCCAGTGCCTGAGTAGCACTCATGAAATTGTTCCACCTAATATGGGTTTTCACTCCCCATAAATATGGCACAATCCCCCCTCAGGCCCAATCAATAGCAAATATTGTTACATCATTGCAAGTATAGCAAAGGGAGTTGTTGGAACAGACCTGGCAGAGTCAAACTTTGTCATTGCAGACCTCCTCCAACCCCAACCCCCCCCCCAATATAATTGAATCTCCCTGACTTGCAGTCAAACTTTAATTTACCTGATATACATGTGCAGGAGGGAACACAGGTGGCGCTGTGGGTTAAATCACAGAGCCTAGGATTTTCTGATCAGAAGGTTGGCGGTTCGAATCCCCGTGACGGGGTGAGCTCCCGTTGCTCAGTCCCTGCTCCTGCCAACCTAGCAGTTCGAAAGCACATCAAAGTGCAAGTAGATAAATAGGTACCGCTCCAGCGGGAAGGTAAACGGTGTTTCCATGCGCTGCTCTGGTTTGCCAGAAGCGGCTTAGTCATGCTGGCCACATGACCCGGAAGCCGTACGCTGGCTCCCTCAGTCAATAAAGTGAGATGAGTGCCGCAACCCCAGAGTCAGTCACAACTGGACCTAATGGTCGGGGTCCCTTTACCTTACGTGTGCAGGAAACCTTGCATATTTCAGAAAAAAACAAAACAAAACAAAAGAAGAACATCAAGCTGAACATTTCTGGTATAGCTCACTACTTGTGATACTACTTTTCTACTTGCAAGGAGTTTGTTTCTGTGCTTGGGGGGGGGGGTAAGAGTGTGATCTCCACCTCCAGATGGAAGTGGTGCAGTCCATACTTCTACCTTATTTGTATCAAGGGCCTCACTGGGTGGGTTCTGAAGTTATGTGACCTCCAGAATCCTTATTGGTGAGAGACAGACCTTCTGCCTCTAAGGCTGGAACTCAGATTCTGCCCTAATTGCAGCATTGTCCTCAAGAGCAGCACGATTATTTTTCCCATCAGGTATGAGAGGGAACCATTCAATTGAATGGCTAACTTGTTACCTGAAACTTGGTCATCACTATGGCCCCAGCCATTCAACGTCAAGGTGGAACCTATCCACACAGCCATGTCCACTGCACATCTTGAGTTCCACTCTTGGTCACATTAGAGCGTGACAGAACGCTGCTAAAAAGCTTCAATGTGTTTCACAACATTTTGACCACCAGGGGGAAAGAGTGAGCACCATTTGGATTTTTGCCTCTGGCACAAAACGCCTCTGCTACTTTCTCTCCCCCCCCCAAAAAAAATGTATGAGAACTCTGCAGAAACAGTACTAGCAATGCAATTCACTTGAATGAAACGGGAAGAAGACATAGAAATTATTAATTCTGCCTTCTCCCTTGGCCGAGTCAGCGAGAATGCTACAGTTTGCAAGGCCTGCTTTGATATTCTGAGCTTGCAGCTTTGCATGTGGCCAATAAGGGAATCTGTTTGATCATTTGCTATTAGACAGAATGTGGCTCTACAAAAGGAAATATGAAACTTTGCATTACAACAAAAGCATTCCAAACTTGTTTGCTTTTAATGTGACAAACACATGCACACAAACACACCACACACACACACACACACACACACACACACACAGAGGATCTGCATTTGACCCTTAGAAAATGAACGCTATGTGTCAAAGCAAACTGCAAAGGCTTCCAGCCCTTTGTGAAGCATTATTGATACGTGTCTTGACTATCCTTGCATGCCTCCCCCTGCCTTTCATTTTCTCCAGTAGCTCATAGAAAGTATTAAAATCTCTTATCATAGATTGCAAAGGTGCTTAAAGCTTCCAACATTAAGCTGCTTGTGCAATATTCAGATGAGTGCCAAATGCAATCCATCAAGATGCCCCCTCCTCAAATAAATTGAGAATAAATAAATATACCAAATAGCAACTTTAAAAAAAAAGTCTGGAGTACAGAAAATAATTAGTGGAAGCTTTCTAGCGATTTTGTTCAGAGGATGTGTGGGAATTAACCCCACCCGCTGCCACCCAAGGGATAATATCTACTCAGTCTTGGAGGGTAGAGAGAAGAGGAAAACATTTGCCATCTGTGAAGAACACAGACCTGGTTTTCCTTAGGACAACAGCTAATCTTAAAACTAAGGATTAATATCTGTAGTACAGTCACCTCCTACAATTCAAGACACAATGATTTGGAGCCTTATTCATCTCCAGACAATCCTGAGCCTTCCCATACAACATAAATCCATGGATGTTGGCTCCCGACCAGAATAACCTATTCATACGGAATTTGGCCAGGGCACAGAAGCCTATTCATGCTTTGTTTGATGGCTTGGGCAGAAGAGACCTGTAAGGGAAGCAGGGATTCCATGTCAACAAGTCCCCTTAACTTGCCTACAAATTCAAGGAAGGCCAAAAAATGACTGAAGGAAGCTGTTTCGGGATGCGGATGGGTGGGGGTGGGGTGAAGGGAGAAAGCTTCTTATATTTTTTTAGAAACACTCTGGAAGTTAATCCCCCGCCAGACTGGATTAACTACCATGGCAGCCTTGTGGGTATGGCGATTGTCAGAGATATTTAAACGAGGAGGAAATAGGAAATCTCTCTCTTTAACCCTCTCCCCGTTCCAATTTCTGCTTTAAGCAGAGGGATGTTCTGGGATCTGTGCGTTGCACTTATATTTGGTCTATGCCTCTCTCTGGGTGAGCATGCATGTGCAAACATGCATGTGCACACACATACACACACAATTCAAGATGACAATAATGCCTCTCAGCTGCTCCAGGTCGGTGTTAGAGGTAGACATCACTGGGCATTTGATGAGACCCACACCTTTGCAGTGCCATGGCCCACAACCCATGGACCGTGCACTGAGCAATGGAGACACCCAAGGAGGCAGAGGCAGCTCTGAATATCCTTGAGTAAATAAATGCCCGAAGTCTGGCCCACCTGGCCTGCTGCTCTCCTCTGATTAAGAGGAAGGGGGTCTCACTAGCTCTGTCTCCCTATGGAGACAAAGACTGCAAAATAAGGTGAAGGCCATTTAACTGCACCGTCTGCTCCTCTGGGGTTCACTACACTACAGGTCGGGTCAACATTTACAGGGACTGCAGTCTTGCAGAAATGCTTGCAGAGATGTCAGTATGTACAGTTGCCACAGCAGGAGCCGGGGAGCTATCCAGGGTCCTGAAGGTGCTATGGATGACATGGATCAGGTTTCCTCAAACTCGACCCTCCAGATGTTTTTGGCCTACAACTCCAATGATCCCTAGCTAGCAGGACCAGTGGTCAGGGATGATGGGAATTGTAGATGGATTCTTGAGTTGGGTCCTCGCCTTGAATCTCTGACTCAGCCTCTTGATGGTACACTGCTGTGTGTCCCCTGTGAGCATCGGACTCTCACCAAACAAGAAAGCCAGAGTCTCCTGGCACGACTGCTCTACCTCCTTGTGTGCTGATACTTCCTGTCCACCTGCCCTCTCTGCGCATATAAGCAGTTACAAGAGTAAGGACATGGGACTGCATTTAAGGCAAGAGAGGGTACGAGAATGGGGAGTGAGGGCATCAGTGAGGATGAGATAAGCCCATCCAGGAAGTGGGACACAGTGAGAGCACCTTGCTCAAGGGCTCTCCAGAACCAAAGAGCAGCCAGCTTTTGACAACCCCTGAAGTCACATGAGGCTACCACCTTGCTGAAGATAAGAAGGTCTGGATGTGGTCTAGATGAGGATGTGGGTAAGGGGTGTGGACTCGGGAGAGTTCCAAGAGAATGGGAGGTGGAATTTGGCCCATTGCAGACTGAGGCTTCTAATGTTATCAGATGCTATCCTTCCGATATAAAAAGTCCACAGCTTAAGAGCCATAGACATTGCGGCTGCTTCAGTGCTGGGGGTGCAAATGACCCAGGGTGAGACTTTAAACTGAGCAGCAAGATATTATTAATTCTATGGGAACTGACTGTGATAATACTAATTACCAGCACGGTAATGCAGTAGTCCTATAATAAAGGCTTCTGCATATAGAACGACACTGTAATTCTCTCACTAGCCTAGGACCATTAGCGAGGTGTGCTTTGTCATTAGCTATATTATTTGAAACTTTTATTTAAAAATGTAAATTAGCGGCATGCTTTTTGCAGCTCCCCCCAAACCTGTGGGTTCCCCCCCTCTTTTAAAATCTTTAATTAAACAGAGCTAATGATGGTTAGCTAAATCTGCAGAAATAACTGTAGAGAGTTTCCAGACCAGGATTATTACAAGGAAGCAAGCCAGTGGTATTTTATATTAAGCAAACATGCAGCAGGAGACACTGGGGCAGGACTATAAACTCTACCTCACCATGCCCTTGGCCATGTTTGCAACTGTCCTTCAGATTTCCTTCTGGAAAACAGAATATAGGAAGGTGCCTTTGCTCCATCTCGCTCAGTATTTTCTACCCTGGCTGGCAGTGGTTCTGCAGAGTTTCGGATAGGGAATATTCCCAGCCCTATCTGGGGGTGCCAGAGATTGAACTTGGGACCTTCTGCATGCAGAGTAGATCTTCTACCATTGATCTCCGGTGAGCCTACATGATGAGTAGAGACTTCCCACTTCAGAAGATCTCTCTCCAGCTCATGGGGGATGATCAGAAGGACGAAGGTGGCAGAACCTGAATATTTATTGTATTTCTTTATTTATCACTTTTACATCCCACCATTCCTCCAAGAAGGGATGCGGGTGGTGCTGTGGGTTAAACCATAGAGCCTAGGACTTGCCGATCAGAAGGTCGGTGGTTTGAACCCCCGCGACGGGATGAGCTCCCATTGCTCGGTCCCTGCTCCTGCCAACCTAGCAGTTAGAAAGCACGTCAAAGTGCAAGTAGATAAATAGGTACCACTCCGACGGGAAGGTAAACGGCATTTCCATGCACTGCTCTGGTTCGCCAGAAGCGGCTTAGCCACGCTGGCAACATGACCCAGAAGCTGTACGCCGGCTTCCTTGGCCAATAAAGCGAGATGAGCGCCGCAACCCCAGAGTTGTCCGTGACTGGACCTAATGGTCATGGGTCCCTTTACCTTTACCTTTATTCCTCCAAGAATCTTTAGGTGGTCTATATGCTTCTGTCCCTCCTCCTTTAATCCCCACAATAACCCTGTAATGTAAGTTAGGCTGAAAGACTGTGACTGGTGGATTTCATTGTGAATTTCATGGCAGCCCATGGAAAGCTAGCACATCAGGGACCTAAGCTAGAATCCTCCCTCCTGACATGCTAGCTTGCAATCCAAGGAACATATGCATAGAAACTTAATACTTGGGTCACACATACACCATACATTTAAAGCTCTCTTATACCACTTTAATAGTCATGACTTTCCCCAAAGAAACCTGGAAACTGTAGCTTGCTTGTCACAAAGCTACAATTCCCAACATGCTTAACAAACTGCATTTCCCATGATGCTTTGGGGGGAAGCCATGTCTGTTAAAGTTGCATAAAGTGGTTTAGAGGTTATGGTGCAAGTGTGACCTTACTACAGAAGAAAATACAAAATCATCCTAGAGCATTCTAAGTACTGCAGCTATCAATTGTTTTGGTACTCCAAAAATTAATGGCGACTTTGCCTGTGCAATGGAAGCTTTTGTAGTCCTTGGTGTGGAGGAAAGGAGTGGGAAACTTTATTGTATATTTCTTGATTATTACAAATGATTGACCCGATATTGGATAACATGAGGCCCAATCGTTTATGCGAAATAATAAGGTAGGCTGCTGAGTAATTATTGAACACAAGGAATTCCTAACTCTCTTCATTGTGCACGTTTTTTAAAAAGAAATTAATCATTGCAAACGACAGAGAATTCAGTTGCATAATAAAAGGAAGAAACAGCAGAGCACACAATAGGGTATTTAAATGTTAATAGAGTCAAACAGTTTAAAGCGTAGCGTACATTCAAATGCCGGTTTGCGCTGAACCAATTATACTTTCTAAGTAGTGGTGTATACCCTTGATTACAGCTTGATGAACATATTGATCCAGCTGGTGACAAGTGTAATTTTCTTCACTGTACATATCTTCATTCCCCACCTCCTTTCCTGACCACTTTAACAAGCCATCACACTACTGCACCCTTTAAAAACAAATTTTGTTTCCAGTTGGCACAGCATGGGAAGGGGAAAAGAGCCTGGGTTGTATTTTGGAAAGAATTATCAAAACGTCTTGTCCTTACAGTCAGATGAGAGCATGTGGATGGGAGACCTCTCTGCTATAAAGACTGCATTTTTGTGATATGCGACACCTGTCTCCGTGGAGTCACAGAAATACAGAATTGTAGAGTTGGAAGGGACCACAAGGGTGATCAAGTCCAATCCTCTGCAGTGCAGGAATGTTTCATCCAAAATGGGGCTCAAACCCACAATCCTGAAATTAAGAGTCTCATGATCTAATCCTGAGCTAATCCTTCAGGGTCCCCACCACTGATGACTGAACCAACCATTGTCATTGACTGTGGGCACATTTTGATCTCACTATGACACGTGCACTTCAAGTGAAACACTTTACTCTTTTCCATAGGAGTGAATGGCAACTATTCACCACCGGAGAAACTGCATTTATGGACATCACTTGAAACTATATGCTCCTGCCATTGCTAGGTGAGCCAGTTCCTATCAATGAGGCATTATTTCTGTTCCTTTGTCACACCAGAATGTGATAGAACACTGAGATGGAGCGTTGCAGCCAATGTTACTTTTACTCAGAGTGGGCACAATGGAAATAATGGTCATAACTAACTTGGGTTCGTGTAACTGAATAAAGCCCAGAGTCGCAGCATTTTCCGAAATGGCTTTTGCATATTAAATATGCAATACGATTTAATAAGATGAAAATGTTCACTCCTGTCTAAGCGTAAAATAAATATTGACCTCATTGCTCAAAAGTGTTTGGAATACAGTTAAGCTGCACATTTATAAAGGTTTTATATCACTTTACTGGCAAGATTCCTGGGCTGTGTAGGTTGATGAAGAGACAACAAATTCTCAGAAATCCTTAGCTCCCATATAGAATTACTGCTTCTAGATTATCTAATGAGAACGAATGCCTTTTAAAGCAGCTTATTAACTCTGTACGTGGTCCTTTCTCCAAAATCAAGAAGGACTGAATATGCACATACTTAGTTTAGCTTCCTTTCAGATTTATCAGTTTGTGAGTGCAGGAAATTAATCAAACTTTGAATTCAATAGGCTAAAATCATTCAGGTGATGTGAAGCTGTTTTCTTCCAGCCAGGAAAAAAAACAAACAAAAAAAACCCCCACCCTCATCCACTAATGTAAGTTTCCTTTCCATAAGTCATTAAACTGATTAAAGAAGCTTAATAATTATTGTTTAATGTCAATACATTTGCATTTCATTAACATGCAACACCTGATACATTAGGTGCACATCAAGTATGTACATAAATTTAACTTAAAGCACAGCCATTTGCTTTTATCTGTTACATCAAAGAGTATCATAAGAATAGCTGTGGGGAGAAAAAGAAAAATCTTTCCCCCTCTCTTTTCTTTAGGTTTTCAGAAACAGCTTACAAGAAGTAGCAGGAACACCAGTGCAGAAATAGATTCTTCCCTATTAACTTTTCATGCTTCTCTAAGACCGCCAGTACCATATAAATACATTCCTTTGCCTTTAATTTCAACTTTGTTCATCCAAAAAATATGAAACCCTGTCCTGGAACACAGTGTTTCTCAATACTGAATTTACACTTCTCCTATGGATGATGATGATGATGATGATGATGATGATGATTATGATTATTATTATTTTATTTTTTAAAAAATAAAGAAATAGATATGCAGAATTTTCTGACCAAGAAAAAAAAAATCTGTGTTTTGCTATAAAAACCATGAAAAGTATCATTCACACGGTGTCTATTTTTGCTGTATCCACACAGAAACCTACAAATCTGGCCATTTTCACAGCTAATTACGAGATAGGAGTGCCTTGATAATGTCTGGCTAACATATTTTTTTTCAGAATTTCAACTAAACCAACTAGTGAGATATTTCTGCATTTTTTTTCAGTTTGTTACTGAATTTTTAATTTGCAAGTAAGTGATTGTGTATTTAATTACCGTTTTCATATTTATAACTTTTATTGAGAACATTCAAGCACGTATGAGTAGTAATACAAATAAACAGAAACGCATGGCTAGATACATGACGATATCACAAGTACCAGAAATATCAAAAAGACACATTTAAGGAAGGCAATGCATTAACGTTCCAAACAGAATCATCGTAATCATACAATCAATTGGCCAGAGGAAACACCAGATAACGCCATTTGTAGAGGGGATTTTCCATCTCCATAACAGTGATGTCAACATACTTCAGTTATGAATGTTTCTATTTTAATGTGAACGTTTTTTAGCTTGTATGCATTTTAGCTACACACATGTATTTTGTGTTTACATTTTGATGTCTGTGCTACATGTATTGATACTTTGTGGACAGCTTAAAACCCTACTTTTGGCATTGAGCAGTATATAAATAAATAAACAAAAGGAACAACTTTCTCACGATGCTGGGTTTGGCAATTAAATCTATTGACTAGGATGGGCTGTATTCAGCCAAGTCCTAATCAGTGTAGCCCCAGCAAAATTAATGAACCCAAGTTATCCACTTGCTGTTTTGTGAGTTGATTGTGACATAAATGTGAAATGTTCTAAGGTTTTGATTTTGGGTCCTATTGCAAGCCAGGGAGGGAGGGGGGCGGACTACAACCCTCCAGATCACGTGTAGGCAAACTAAGGCCCGGGGGCTGGATCCGCCCCAATCAACTTCTAAATCCTGCCCGCGGACGGTCCGGGAATCAGCGTGTTTTTACATGAGTAGAATGTGTCCTTTTATTTAAAATGCATCCTATGTGGGGCATAGAAATTCATTCTCCCCCCCAAAAAAAGAATATATAGTCCGGCCCCCGACAAGGTCTGAGGGACAGTGGACCAGCCCCCTGCTGAAAATGTTTGGTGACCCCTGCTCCAGATGTAGGTGACTTCAGCACCCATCAGCTCCAATTGCTAATGGTCAATGATGGGGGAATGGTTATAGTGGTAGTCTCACAACATCTGGGGCAGAGGCTGCAGGTTCCTCCGCCATGTTGTAAGCCATCCCGGACTCCCTCCTGGGAGGAAGGATGGGGTATAAATTGGGCAAAGGAATGACTTCACAGTGTTTATTTACTTCAATGGGTTTATTCTGAGTAGGACTGGCACTGAACTCTTCATGGTGGTTTTCATACAGTAGTTGGATGATCATCTTATATTAGGTAAAGGGACCCCTGACCATTAGGTCCAGTCGTGACCGACTCTGGGGCTGCGGCGCTCATCTCGCTTTATTGGCTGAGGGAGCCGGCATACAGCTTCCTGGTCATGTGGCCAGCATGACTAAGCCGCTTCTGGTGAACCAGAGCAGCGCACGGAAACGCCGTTTACCTTCCTGCCAGAGCGGTACCTATTTATCTACTTGCACTGGCATGCTTTCGAACTGCTAGGTTGGCAGGAGCAGGGACCGAACAACAGGAGCTCCCCCCATCGCGGGTATTCGAACCACCAACCATCTGATCAGCAAGTCCTAGGCTCTGTGGTTTAACCCACAGCGCTACCCGCATCATCTTATATTACATCTGCTCAAATGTGATCAACTCCTGCCTGGAAACCTATGTCCCCACTGTGGAAGGATGTGTGGATCCAGAACTGGCCTCCACAGTCACTTACGGACTCATTGTTAAAACCGTGTTTATGGAAGACAATCTTACTCGGCTATGAGTGATCGCCAGAGAAGAAGAAAAAGAAGTCATCTCTCAACAACCAAAGCTAATTCCCGCCCCCTCTTCTTTTTGTCTTTGCACCCAACCAATTTGGTTGCCAATAAATATTGCCATAGACATTTCTGAGATCATGGTTTATCAACGAATGGCTCCTGTCCAGGTTTGTTAACTGTCTTACTTTAAATGTTGTGAGGATCCGACGTCCTTTTAAAATGTGGGTGTTTTTTGGGGGGAGGGTTATTGGGTTGCTATTTTTATTTTGATTATGTATTTTGTGGCTTTGTATTTTGATTTTATTCTGTGAACTGCCCTGAGACCTCCAGGTATGTTGTTGTTTAGTCGTTTAGTCGTGTCCGACTCTTCGTGACCCCAAGGACCAGAGCACGCCAGGCATGCCAGGTATAGGGTGGTATATAAATAAATTCAATTAATCATCATCATCATCATCATCAGTCAGGGGATCTATAGCTATGATTCCTGCACATCCGGGTGTTGGACTGGATGACTCTTAGGGTCCCTTCCAATTCTATACCTCTATTATTCTATTCCATGAATACCACCCATGAACTTTATATTTAAGCAGTTGATAAGGCAAAAAAAACACCACCCCACAAGCTTTCCCCACAAGTTAGAGCCGTTATATATGTGACTGGATTGGGGGCTGGTGGGAGGGATCACACCCTGCCTTCAAAAAAGATCTAGCTGAAATTAGGTTTACCAAATGCCAATTTACGTTCCAGAACGCTCTTATAATCAAAGTATTTTGAGAAGATAAAGAGATCAAAACATGTATTTTGTGTTAAATGTAATTTTGCACTATAGCTAAGAATAAGTCATCCCGCTTGCAATTATTTAGTATATATGTCTAAGCTGTTTGGGTTAGCACCAACAAATCACAGATGTGCTGCACTCTATTTTCCTGGATTTATTTCTATTGCTTAAATTAAATGAAACGAGGAACACTGCTGTGCTCACGGTGTCAGGAGGGTAACACATTAGTGCTGTGAAATTAAGGGAGGAAAGCAATGCTGATGGAATTAACTTTTTCTTCTCCCACACCAAAACTGAGTTATGGTTAATTGGAAAAAAAGAGGTTTAGCAACCAAAAGACATTTCATCTCTGTTAGCATACCCAGGTCAGGTGGCTGTGAAAGGAAGCGCTACACAGGATTTCAGCTATAAATATTATAATATTTAAAAAAGAGTGTTTGACTGATAAAGAGTTAACTCCAGCTTTGAACTATGCGATTTACTGACCAATTTGAACTGTGACACTATGGCAAGCAAGAATGTCACAAAAAAGTGTAGAACAACATTCACACGCCTATATGGAGATCTTGCCAATAGGCAAATATATTTAAATTTAATCAATTGCTTAATCAGCCAGTTAAAGGGCAAATGATTAATTAGCACAAACTTGATTGCCTACAAATAATATAACCACCAGTGTATACAAACTAGGAGTGAGGGAATCGGTTTACTTCTTGTCTGTCTCATTTTCTTGTGCATTCACTCAAAAGTCTATTTCAGAGTCTAAAACCGTTCCAGAGAGCCAGTGTGAATGAGAAGTTACACTGCTGGACTAGGACTTGCTGAGTGACCTTGGGCCAGTCAAAGTTTCTCAACCTCCCCTACCTCACAGGGTTGTTGTGGGGACTAAATGAGGAGGAGGAGGGATAACTGTGTACACTACCTGAACTATGTGGACCAAAATTACCATATAAGTGCAATAAATATATATTTTAAAAATCACATTTCCACATTAAGATTTTGAAAATCCATGAAAATACATATTTCATTGTGAATTTTCCCATTTTCTCTCCAATCTATCAACGTATTTTACTTCAAATTCATATTTCTAAATGTATTTTTATTGGGAAGAAAAGGCTAGGACGGTGTTAAAATGTTCAGGAAGTATGAAACCTGCTGGAAAACTAAGGCTGTAAGCCTTACTTCACTTACTGAGGAGTAAACCGCAATGAATTCAATAGGGCTTACTTCTGAGTAGTCATGAGTCACATCCACACCACACAAGCACATGACTTCTACCAAAGTATCCTTTACAGTTTACCCCTTAGAGGGTTGCACTTCCAAGCACTCTTAACAAACTACAGTTGCCAATATTCTTTTGCAGGGAGACCATGAGCTGTGTGGATATCGCAACAATGAGCATTCCACTGTGTGAGTTGCAGCCAGCTAAATTCTACCCAGACCCACTGAAATTGATGGACCTAAGTTGGTCACACCCATTAGTCTGCACAGGTCGGCTCTGAGTGTTGTTAGCACTGAATACAACCCTAAGTTTTGATCGGCATATTTGCCTGTGAGGTAGTGACCTGGACCACTTGCATTTGAATCTGCACATATCTCATTCATCAATTCCAAATCTCAGTAGAAATCTTTCCGTTCCTAACAACAACTCCATTTTCTGAAAGAAACAATTCAGGACCACTTTTCTAGCAGAATACAGGTGTTGCATATTAGTTACTGCACCTCAGCAGAAAGCCTGTGTAGTTACTTCAGCAAAATCCACATTAACACGAAAGATTAACATAATTACAGCAAACATAAAAGAAATCAATAGCAGTGCAGGGTTGCCGTTTCCAAACCTTCCAGGTTCTCTCTTGATACTTCCTGTGGATTGACAGTCACCCCCACTCTCCCTGTTCTGCCTTTAAACTTTGAAGCTACCTGAGTACATTACCATTAACGAGCCACTTTGTACAGCAACTTGAAAGGGTCAAATGTTCTCCCCTGCCAACTTTCGCTTTCTTCCCTGACAGACCCCTTGATGTACCTCCCTGCACAAAAAGCCAAAGATGTAAAGGGCCAAGGGACAGCCAGGGCCCGTGGCGGTGGGGAAAGGAAGGAAGCTTTTAACCAAATAGCTTGCTTGTTTATTACTCTAACTGCGCAGCCAAATGTCAACGCCATCGTTTGGAAGCCACTTAATTCTGCTACTAATGGGGTGCTGCCAAAGCCATTAAGGTTGCTGACTTAGCTATTGGCAGCACAGATTATTTCTCCGTCTTCAAAGAAATAATAATCTAAAGGCCACTTGCATCACTCGGAGGAGCTGCACCAGGGAGGGAACCTCCATCACTAGCAGAAATAGTCTAGAGAACATGAGGATGTAAGGACTCCCTGGATCAGGCCCATCAATTCTAGCATCCTGTTCTCACAATGGCCAACCAGATGCCTGAGGGAAACCCACAAGCAGGATTCAAGCATGAAAGTGCTGGAAGCCACATGTTCTCCCAATTGTGGCTTCCAGCAATGGGTATTCAGAAGCATTGCTGGCTCTGACAGTGGAGGTAGAACACAGCCATCATGGCTAAAAGTCATTGAAAGACCTACATTGGCTCCCAGTACGTTTCCAAACACAATTCAAAGTGTTGGTGCTGACCTTTAAAGTCCTAAATGGCCTCAGCCCAGTATACCTGAAGGAGCATCTCCACCCCCATCGTTCAGCTCTGAGGGCCTTCTGGCGGTTCCCTCAATGCGAGATGTAAGGTTACAGGGAACCAGGCAGAGGGCCTTTTCGGTAGTGGCGCCTGTCCTGTGGAACACCCTCCCATCAGATGTCAAGGAAATAAACAACTATCTGACTTTTAGAAGACATCTGAAGGCTTAGGGAAGTTTTTAATGTTTTATCGTGTTTTTAATATTCTGTTGGGAGCTGCCCAGAGTGGCTGGGGAAACCCAACCAGATGGGCAGGGTATGTATGTATGTATGTATGTATGTATGTATAAATTCTTCCCATTTACTTTTAAAGCCATCCAGGTTGGTGACAATCATTACATTTTGTGGGGGAAAATTTGATAGTTTAACTATGCACTGTATTAATAAACTGTATCAGTTTCATTGAACGGCCCTGAGTTCTTATGTTATGACAGAGCAAGAAAAACTTTTCCCATTGGTAAAGGTAAAGGGTAACTGGACGGTGACCGTTAGGTCCAGTCGCGGGCGATTCTGGGGTTGCGGCGCTCATCTCGCTTTACTGGCCAAGGGAGCCAGTGTACACCTTCCAGGTCATGTGGCCAGCATGACTAAGCCACTTCTGGCGAACCAGAGCAGCGTACGGAAACACTGTTTACCTTTCCGCCAGAGCGGTACCTATTTATCTTCTTGCAGTTTGATGTGCTTTCGAACTGCTAGGTTGTCAGGAGCAGGGACTGAGCAATGGGAGCTCACCCCATCGCGGGGATTTGAACCGCCAACCTTCCAATCGGCAAGCCCTAGGCTCAGTGGTTTTGCCCACAGCGCCACCCGTGTTCTCTCCATACTCCACGTTTCTCTCCGTACCACACATAATTGTCCATACTTTTCTATTGTCCTATCTCCTACTTGCCTTGTCTCTTACTTGTCTTTTCCCTAAACTAAGTCCAAAGAAGAGTCCTTGGGTCAGGAGACAGCTGGGATGAAATCTGGTTTCAGCCTACATCCACAGTCTGGGGGTTCCCTACGTTTGCTTAGTGTGACCAGATAACATGTCTATGCCATGGGTGAGGAAAAGTCTCTCCCCCCTCCTGTGGCCACTTTCTCTCCTGGATAACCTTCCAGGGCTTACAATCCAGTGGTGGACAGGACCATGGGCAATATAGTCAGAAGAAGACATGTGAATTACTGCGATAAACTAGGCTAGCTTCTAAACAGATTAGCACCCCTCCCAATCTATCCTCCAGCCAAGCTAGCGTGAAGCATTTATCAGAGTTCAAGGACACATTCCAGAAGGTAAAAATATATATCAACAAACACAGAGGATGGAAAGCATTTTTTCCAGAGATTTGACCCTCTTGACTTTCCCCTTTAACTTCCTTTTTTATCAGTCCCTCACTTTTGAGATATTTGTTGAAGTCAAATGTGACTGTTGGATTTTCCTGGCAATTGCCCATTTACATACGGTATATATTGAATTTGATAGCACAATGGTCACTGTTCCCAATCAGTTCAGGAGCACTTTCATCTCACACCAGGTTTCGCGCACCACTCAAGATGAAATCTGGGTTGTCACCACTTTGGTTGGTTCCACAGCAAAATGTTCCAGAGCACAGTCTATTTACAGCTTCTAGAAACTTTACCTCTTTGTTGGATTCAGGTAAGGAGCCATCTTGGTCTGTCACAGTCAAAAAAATAAATAAATAAATAAAAAATTGTCCAGTAGCACCTTAGAGACCAACTAAGTTTGTTCTGGTTATAAGCTTTTGTGTGCGTGCACACTTCTTCAGATACTTTGTTGGAGCACACATTCATCTAGTCTATGAGAGGTTACTTAAAGTCACCTATGGCTATAACATTTGCTCTCATTCTCCATCTCAAGGACTCCTCGAGCATTTTGATCAGGTGAACGATAGCATGTCCCCAGTGCTGTACTAAATCATTCTTGGGGCCTGTTATCACCATCCACAATTTCTGTTCTGAAGTTTGCCCCTGTGGGAATTTTTAGCTTGTAGGAGTTATTGCCTCTTGCCCAAGCCAATGATCTGCATAATTTTTTTTGCTCTAGTATATGAATATGTGAACCAGAACCCTCATGTTGAAAAGGCAAGACTGCACTTACTCCTTAATGAGTGGATCACCGAATAGCTCAGTTGGTTAGAGTGTGGTGCTGATAATACCAAAGTCACAGGTTCAATCCCCACATGGGACAGTGGCATACTCCTGCATTACAGGGGGTTGGACTATATGATCCCCAGGGTCCCTTCGAACGCTATGATTTTATGATTCTATTATTCTACCTCTTGCACCCCAAACTCTGCATCTCAATGCTTATCTTCATCAAACTTCTAAATGGCACGCTCATTTAGGAGTCTTTTGCATATGTCAATCTCTGCATTGAGTTGTTTCAGATGCTCTTCCACCTCCCCAATATTAGTCATACCTTTCAAAATTAACAGCAATCATAATGATATGTCTAATCCACTCATTACTACTTTTCTTTTGGCTTTCTTTTATTGGCACCACGCAAATCCACCTCTATCACCTGCAGTGTGGAATGTAAACATGCTGTATGTCTATCCGTTTGCCTGTCTGACACAATATTTCCAACCGAAAGTACAAACAGAATGATTATAGTTCACAGCACTAGATAAAACAGGTTATCATTTCTAAGAGAATGAATGCTATCTCACACTTTCCTATAGCTGAACAGGCTAATGTACTGATTGGATGCAAACCCGTGTAATGTGGGAGAAAATAAAGCTGAAAACTAAATATCCCCTGCTCTCATATGCTTCTCATATTCCTATGGGAAGCCGAGAAGGGAGAGAGAGAGAATAAAATTCCCTGTGATAGCACAAGTTGCAAAAACACAGACCACATAACACTTGACATAAGCAGCACAATATCTACTTTGTTAGGTTATACCAGATGAAAGGCGAAAACTCACCCTGTTTCTCCACCTGAAAAACAAGGAAATTGTTCTAAGCGCCCAAGCTGCGTACTCAGTAAGTTAATGGAAAGAGACAGAAATTATGCATGTATGGAATATTTCTTACAAGAAAGTAGAGATGCTAACAGCTTTGTTGCTGAGTGCCATCATCATAAGGAAACGGGAAAGCAACAGAAGTGATGGCGAGAATGGGAGCCTTGTACAAAATAAAAATAAAAATGGATAATACACCAGATGCAATGGAAGCAGCAGTATACATGAATAGTCCTGAAAAAGAAGAAGAAGAAGAAGAAGAAGAAGAAGAAGAAGAAGAAGAAGAAGAAGAAGAAGTTTGGACTTGAGATCCCACCTTTCACTCCCCTTAAGGAGTCTCATAGCAGCTAACAATCTCCTTTCCCTTCCTTCCCCACAACAAACACTCTGTGAGGTGAGTGACGCTGAGAGACTTCAGAGAAGTGTGACTAGCCCAAGGTCACCCAGCAGCTGCATGTGGAGGAGCAGGGAAGCGAACTTGGTTCACCAGATTACGAGTCCACCACTCTTAACCACTACACCACATTGGCTCTCTAAGTCCCTAAGCAGAGTAAATAATAAAGTCTGTATTGCTATAGCACCCATAGAGACTAAGCCCATCCCAAAGTCTTACATACCCTGTGCACATAAAGTTTCCTTTCATGCAGGCAGCTTCATTTATAAGTGTGCAGACATGGAGTCACTTGTTCCACTGAAACTGAGGAAGTCATTGCAAGATGGGCAGCTCCACACATGCAAAGTAGTTACTATGATGATAGATCAGGGTGATTTAATAGTTTTGTCCTCCAATTCAGGGGCAGGACCAAGCCTCGATGGGCCAGGAGGGTTGCACACCTGTCGGTCACCTGACATCACAGTGACATCAGGTGATCCATTTTTTTTCTTACGAAGTTTGGAATCCAACCACACTGGCAAAGGCACAGAGATTTCCAGGCTTGCAGAGTGGTCACCGGTGCTTGCAAAGCGTTGCACCTCCTTGATGGGCAGATTCCTTTCCAATTTAAGAGATGATGGTGAAATGGCAACAGAAAACCTTGCTTTACCATGCTACCCTTTCAAAAGTGTAAATTAACACAGGGTGCCTCCTCTCCCCTGACTTAGTGGTAAGAGCAGTGCTGAGTAGTGGTTGATATTTGCCGCAAGTCATGCAAAAGCTATAGGAATGTAAGAAAACCACCTTATTCATCTGCCTCAGTAATTTTGGCACTCACTGACAGAGGCTCACCAGGGTTTCAAGAAGAGAATATTTCCTGCCCTACCTGGAAATACCAGAGATTGAGTCCAGGAGCCTTTGCATGTGAAACATGTGTTCTGACACTGACTTATGGCCTTCTCCTACAATGCCATGCTGGCCCCCTTTGGTGTGTTTCCATGCTTCACTTGCCTCCAATTCTGAGAAATGTGCTTCTATTTGCATGTGAAGTAGTATCATTCTTGACTGCGGAGTGTGTATACATGCAAGTCTGTTGCCCGGGTGGGTGGTCAATGTCAAGGCCCCTCCTCATTCGCTCTTTACGGTCCTTTATCTTTAAATCCTACTTGGGGCCAAACCGCTCTTCCAAAAGAGGACTCCTTCAGACAGAGAAATGTCTTCTGCCCTATTCCCCTTGCATAGATACAACACTCAGCATGGTTTAACAATCACAATAGTGCCTCATACCAAATGTAAACAAACTGTGAAAAAGACTCTACAGTGGTAGCTTAGGTTACATACACTTCAGGTTACATACGCTTCAGGTTACAGACTCCGCTAACCCAGAAATATTACCTCGGGTTAAGAACTTTGCTTCAGGATGAGAACAGAAATCGTGCGGCAGCGGCGCGGTAGCAGCAGGAGGCCCCATGGTGCTTCAGGTTAAGCACAGTTTCAGGTTAAGAATGGACCTCCGGAACGAATTAAGTACTTAACCCGAGGTACCACTGTATGATTGAAAGTGGAGACGCTATATGTACTTTCCCCTGTTTATTTGTTTGTCTTTAATAAAAACTGCTCTCTTTTTTTTTTACAAAAAAACCCCCTCTTCACAGGGAATTCTAGAAATTGTAGCTCTAGGAGGGAAAATGGGATCTCCTACTACTCTTAGCACCCTTAACAAACTACAGCTCCCATAATTCTTTGGGGGAAGCCATGATACGTCTGTGAGGTAAACAGGAGGTCTCCTAGCAACTCTCAGCACCCTTAACAGACTACAGCTCCCAGAATTCTTTGTGGGACTGTTTAAAGTGGTATCATAGTGCTTTAAATGTATGGTGTGAATGTGGCCAGAGTGAGAGGCAGGGAGCTAACTGGTCATATAAACTGCTTGCTTTCTGCCCTTCCAGATGCACTCTGGCCATAAAAAGGGTTAGCCACCCCTGGAGTAAAGGTTTATGATGCAGCAATGCTCCTATGGTGAAGCTCTGCATTGGCGCCTTAGTGTGAGAGGCCATCTAAGAACTGTACATAAACCATTCTAATCTTCTGGAAGAGCAGCAGAGCCCAAATGCAGAAATAAATAGCAGTCATAGAAGATCGCAGACTACATTATCAAGAAAGTGGTTTTGGACAAGAAAAGAGGGTGGGATAAGAAGACAAAGCAGCAATAAACATTCTGCCTGCAAAACAGGCTGTTTTGTCAGCACACTTCTTGGGTGCCGTTATCTGTGCACGTCTGTGGGAATACAGCAATCATGGGACAGCAAGAAATAGGGACTCATCTTATGTTTATACTCGTTCTTGCATCCATCCAAAACACCTTCTAAATTCGGCCAACCAGTTCTCTTTAAGAAGTTCGAAACAAAGATCAACCTTTTTGGCTCCAGAAAAGGAGTCGTTCCTGGTGTTTGGGGGTAAAGGAAAGGATTTGTGGGGGTTTTCCCTCTCTGTATTTTTTCTTTTTTTTAAGCTGAAGATCCAAGATGAAAGCTTGCCATGTTCACAAGTTTCTACACTTGAGCAACACCGGAGATAGGAGCAAACTTTTAAAATCCCAGATAATCCTCACTTTACTAATAAGCAGTTTTATCTAAATCCTTCTTTAAAAGTTGTGCTTCCTAGAACGATGCTACGGGAAGTAAGTTGCCACGTCCAATTTACAGTTTCTTTTCAGCGAGTATTAAACCTCGGTGGCGGCTGAGCCACGGCGGCTGAGCAGACCTGTGTGCCTCAACAACCACAAAGCCTTATCTTGATCCCTTGTCCTTAAGTCCCCAACTTCAGCTCTATGGAAGGCCTGGTGGTGCAAAGGGATGACGGCCAGTTGCTCACTGACAAAATTGGTACTAAAAAGCTCTTGGTATTTCACAGCTCTGGTGCTGTTATAGAAGTCAGCAACATTTACACACACACACACACACACAGAGAGAGAGAGAGAGAGAGAGAGAGAGATGGTCAACTCTATTAAAAGATTTGGTTCACATGACTCTAACCATGGTTTAGTGTGCTAACCACGGTTTAGTGTGAATGACGGGGGGCTCCTGGAGAGGAGATCACAGTCACTTCACTCCTTCTCTGCTGCTGCTGCATGACTGTGAGCTAAACCACGGTTTGGCTTACATGTCATCTGAACCCAGGCTTGTGGTCTGTCTTGCTCCAGACAAACCAAGAGTCACTGCCAACATTTGCTCTTGCTCTTCATTATTAATTTTATTTGCACATTCAACAAGGGGGAAAAAAATGAAAGAGAAAAAAGTACAGTCATACCTTGGTTCTCGAACAGAATGCATTCCGGGAGTCTGTTCGACTCCCGGAACTGTTCAAAAACCAAGGTGCGGCTTCCAATTGGCTGCCGGAGCATTCTGCAGCCAATAAGAAGCTGTGGAAGCCATGCCGGACACTTGGCTTCCGAAAATCATTCGAAAACTGGAACACTCACTTCCAGGTTTCAAACGTTCGGGAGCCGATTTGTAAGGGAGCCAAGGCATTTGAGATCCAAGGTACGACTGTATTTGTTAAAAATGGATGAAAAAATATAAAATAATACAGGCAACAACTCGTCTGTATGGGGGTTGCATTCTGATGCACCACTTGCATCAGTGGGGAGTGTGTAAGCCCACCTTGTTCTGGTCTCTTCCGGGGCTGAAAACTGTGTGTACATCAGCAATTGTGCATATGCCAAACACACACAAATGGGGAGTTACCTGTATATAAATACTACTAATAATACTACTAAAACATCATCCATGGACATAGTGAGTATTGCCTTTGACTGGACTCAAACGTCCAGGAGTCCTTTACCTTTTACAGTGATCATTAGTACATGGCTCTTAAATATTTAAATTAATATAAACCTTACAGGTGTCCAAAGAGGTATCAACACAAGATTGATGCTTATATGAAAATATTTGAAAGTAGCCAGGGCAGTGAGATCCGCTGCATATTAGACAGGCGGTGTTCATCCAGCCAGCCTTGAAGTCATATAGCCACCATAAGGGCTTGCAAAGCCCACTTTTTCAGTTAATCCCCATATTATAGGAATATAGTTTAAAAATACATGAACATCTGCAAATGACAAAACCAATGAAAGCCAGAACGTCAAACCAAAAGGAATATAACTCTGGATGGCTCTACACTCTATGCTTCAAAGTTTACACTTCTTGGTTTACTGATGGTGACTTGGCTGGGGGAGCAAGTAATAGGGAAGGACTACCTGATCTGAATTACCTAATGGAGGAATTAAAGAACCTTTTAATGAGGGTGAAAGAGGAGAGCACAAAATATGGTCTGAAGCTCAACATAAAAAAAAACTAAGATCATGGCCACTGGTCCCAGCACCTCCTGGCAAATAGAAGGGGAAGAAATGGAGGCAGTGAGAGATTTTACTTTCTTGGGCTCCATGATCACTGCAGATGGTGACAGCAGTCATGAAATTAAAAGATGCCTGCTTCTTGGGAGAAAAGCAATGACAAACCTAGACAGCAAAGACATCACCTTGCCGACAGTTAAAGCTATGGTTTTCCCAGTAGTGATGTATGGAAGTGAGAGTTGATTGCTGAAGAATTGGTGCTTTTGAATTATGGTGCTGGAGGAGACTCTTGAGAGACCCATGGACTGCAAAGAAGATCAAACCTATCCATTCTGAAGGAAATCAGCCCTGAGTGCTCACTGGAAGGACAGATCCTGAAGCTGAGGCTCCAATACTTTGGCCACCTCATGAGAAGAGAAGACTCCCTAGAAAAGACCCTGTTGTTGGGAAAGTTTGAGGGCACAAGGAGAAGGGGACGACAGAGGACGAGATGGTTGGACAGTGTTCTCAAAGCTACAAACATGAGTTTGACCAAACTGCAGGAGGCAGTGGAAGACAGGAGTGCTTGGAGTGCTCTGGTCCATGGGGTCACGAAGAGTCGGACACGACAAAACAATAACAAAGCGAATGGCACTGATGTAGCATAGGAGCTAACGATGTGAGCCAAAAAACCTTGAGTGTCTGGCATGCTCTGGTCCATGGGGTCAAGAAGAGTCGGACATGACTAAATGACTAAACAACAACAACAACCTAATGCAAAAAGCCTACAGCTTACTGGTAGAGCACATGCTTTGGATGCAAAAATCCCCAGGATCAATCCCTGATCGCTCCAGATAGCAAAGCCTCCTGTCTGAAACTGCTGGCCACTGTATAGCAGGCAATCCTCAGTGAGATGCACGAATGGTCTAACTT